TCTCTCTCATCTCTCTCATCTCTCTCATCTCTCTCATCTCTTTCTCATCTCTCTCATCTCTCTCTCCTCTCTCTCTCTCTCCTCTCTGTCTCTCGTCTTTCCGTCTCTCTTCTCTCTCTTCTCTCGCAGGAGGATCCGGGCAAGAGCCACATATAAAGGACTCTTCACCCCTGCCTCCAAAAAGAGCGCCGTGTTTTTTCCTACCTCGCTGCCCTCCACTTTCCCATTCTGGAGCGCTAGCTTTCGCCCCCCCCTTGGCCTCAAGTTTTTCAATCCTCCAAGCCTTTCCTGTTCTTGGCTTTTGCTTCTCTATTTTGGTGAGGCAAAAATGGCAAAACAAAAGGTGTAAAATAACAAAGGTCTTCGGTTTTTATCCTTCGGAAGTGATCGGGTACAGCCGGATCACCCCTGCAGTGCGGCACCACGGCACCAGGAGCGTTTGGCCAACGCGAAGCCCACGGTGAATGCGCCCAAAAGCATCTCCCAAGTCTCACAGATGAAGGCTCGGCCTCCTCTCTGGTGTTTCTTTGTCGCTTCGTGCTTTTCAAGTGACTTGGAACATCCTGAGATTTTGTTTTTGGCCATTGTCAGGGTGTTTTTCAATGCAATGTGGACAGTGTCCCTTTTCCAGCGTTTTCGCTCACAAAGCTGGGGTTTTAGTAGGGGTTTCGGAAAAGTCCAACATTTTAGTCATGAGTCATGTCTTGGACGTCACGAGCGTTGCAATGAAGTGCCGCCTTTCGCCAGCTTCCTGACTTGATTGCCGAAAATGCATCCAGCAAAACGCTTCATGGCAGAAATGAGGAAGGGTTGCCACAACGAAGGTTGAAACGGTAGTATGCCGCAGTTGTATTGCTTCTACTGAGGCTTTTGGTGGTCGTTTGCTTGGCAGTGCCGCCCCTATTCTCTTGACATATCAAAATAGATGCTAACTCCAACTCCTGGCCAAGGCATATGCCAAAGAACAAAGCAACTATGTCCCACCCATAGTTTCCTTTTCTTTTGCCGTTTTCTTGTTTGGCGTTGACAGCTCCCCCTTTTCACTTTACACAAGGCCAGGCTACTGGCCGAGAAAGCACATGCTGCATTGTGGCAGAAGTGAGCCCAGCGTTCTTTTGCCGTTGAGTTTTTGTACTCTTCTTTTCCCTTACTTGATAGTTTTTTGATTTTTTTTTTCCGCATTGGTTTCCTTCTATCCGGAGTAAGCCTTGATTTCAACCAGCGCCAGGTTTTGCTCCAAGCCGGGAAGTGGGCCTCTGCCGGTGAAGCTGGTCGCTGTGGAGCTGTCCGAAGCTGGCGGATTCACCGATCAGTGCGACGGGAGATTGAGTTTCACAAAGCCATCGCTATTAGGTTGGAGGCCATTGCTATTAGGAACAAGAAGCTACTAGTAACAAGGGCATCGTTACTAGTTACAAGGGCATTACTACTAGTAACAAGAAGCTACTAGGTTGGAAGCCATTGCAAAAGAACTTGTTCAAAGGACCTTTTAAAAGGCCGCTCTGCCCGCTACCTAGAAGCGATGGCCTCCAACCTAGAAGGACCCTTTCAAAGCGTCCTTTCCTTTCGATTTTGTTGAAGTGAAGTGCAGACACTATAAAGGTGTGTACGGAGGCTGCCAAATCCCTAGAAAAAACCTGGGTGGCCAAGGCCTAAAACAACGTGTGAATTGCAACAGTCCAAGAAATTCCAAGTGCTAAAAAGCTTCAGAAGCATCAACAAGGACCGATAAGCGTTGAACACGAGTGCAAGTCACATGGTAAGTGCGCATCTGCAGAGAAGAACGAAAACAAAGCCCTGCCGCTTGTTCTAGTCAAACAGGGTCCCCCTGGGTAATATTCAGCCATCATATATAAGCAAGTACAAGATCAGACGACCACCGACATGCCATAGCTTCGTTGGACCCGGTAGGCAAATCGGCCCCAGTCCCCAGTTTCCAGAAACACACGCCCCCGGTGAAAGACATGAAAAAGCATGCAATGTAGGCGGAGGCAATGAAGAGGAAACCGATGAGCCAGGAACAACCTTACAACAAAACCTGGTGTGCTTAACATCCTAGTTTTGCTGTGGATGACGGATGTGCGTGAAATGACAGGACGTGAAGACCGGAAGGACGTGAAAAAAACAGGAAGGTTTGCGAAGGGCAATGAAGGGGAAACCAGATGAAGGAGAATGAAGGAGAACAAACCAGAGAGAACCAAACCTCATTGAGGGGATACCAACCTAATAGCAAAGGGAAGGGGATACGGGATACCTGGGCCACCTTGCCTAGTTAAGTATGCGCAATGTGCACGTCAACGGCAAGTCGCGTCGAGGTACGGAGTCAAGGAAGTGCCTTACTGCATGATGTTCCTGGGCGGTCAGCAAGTCTATGCGAAGAGGTCCGTGGCATCGCCGTCGCCGAAACGCCGAACGACCGTCAGAGACCGTCAGAAAGCACCCACCGGAGAACCGGCCGGTTTCCGGCTTCTTACTGCAAGCAATTCGTAGAGCTCTTGTGAAGAGTAAGTGGTTGAGGTTGCCATTCGCCCAGAGTCCGGGGCTCCTTGGCTCATGTGGCCGACCCGTTTTCTGGCCGACAGGATCCATGGCCTCCGCATGGCTCCTCGTGATGCTGCTGCGGCCAAGCCAAAGGCACCAAGTCATGGCGGACACGGTTTTGTCACCCACGAGCCTAAACCCCACAAGGCCTAGAATCATTATTTTGTAGTACTGGATCCCAAGACCTAGACTACTCTTGAAGCATTCCTTCCGCATTTGGTACTTTCTTCGATTGAACAGAAGGTTCGCTCAGTGGCAGATGACAGGTTCTGCTTGTGGAGGAGAATCCAGCGATTCAGCTCAAGCTCGAACGGATCCTTTGCCCTGCAAGAGCTGACATGCAGAATCAGGCAGAAACTAAAAAACAAATCTTTTGAGTTGCTGCTTGGAATGGCCTCCAACCTACTAGCGATGGCCTCCAACCTAATGCATAATCATGCAGATACGGTCATGGTTCTTTTGGTTGTGATTCTCTGTGTGAATCGGTTGAAATGGTCCGAGCAAAATAACAACTCCAAGTGGCGTATGCACCGTTCATGATGTCGAGGCAGGGCCAAAAGGACATACCCTGGGTGTTAGAATGGCTTCCAGGCTACTGGAAAAAACGTCAAAAGGCTCCTACCAGATGGCCAAGGATGCTACTAGGGGCTCCTGGCCTTACTAGGAGCAAGGACGCTACTAGTAACAAAGGGCATCGCTACGAACGGAGCAAGGACGCTATTAGGTGGCTCCTTTATGGCCTTGAAGAGTAACAAGAAGCTAGTAGTAACAAGTGCATCGCTAGTAGTAACAAGTGCCTTACTAGTA